TAATAACATCTTCAGAATGTATCTCCCCGTCTTTCTCCCTTGAGCAAAACAGCACACACCACACACACCTACCCCTGCCTCCTCCCCCCAGCGGTGCAAGGAGCGTCCGGGTGTGAAATGTAAAAGGGAGAACGCTGTCGTTCAAACTGTCCCAACCACCAGTGTCTCCCTCCCTCCCTCTTGTTCTTGGTTTCTTCCGGCGACTCTTCCTCATGTTTGTTTCTTACTCTCTTTCTCTGTCACTATTTTTCTTTCTCTTTCTCTCATTCTTCTCCCCCCTCCCTCCCTCTCAGGTGGGCTAGCTTCTGTAGGTTGCAGGTGCGCGGGACCCCTCAGCCAATGAAAAATGAGTGCCGTCGTGCACCGTGACTTTGATGAACCTCGCGGTACGTCGGCCTATCACTCTTCTCCATTTGGCTTCCCCCGGAAAAACCGGTCTGTGACACACACAAACACGCACACACACACACACAACTGGCAAACGCTCTGGACCAAATATTTGTCTTGTTGAAGGAAGAGGCTGCGCTCGGGTAAATACGCGGTCAAGAGGGCCTTTTTGTCTGTGTGTGCATGAGTGTGTGTACTCACATAATACCCAAAATGTGGAGTGTTTTTGAGATTATTTTTAGAAACTTTTAAGAGAAAAGTGGACTGAAGGTAAATACACTCACCTGCCACTTTATTAGGTACACCTTGGTAGTACTGGGTTGGACCCCATTTTGCCTTCAGAGCTGCCTTAATTCTTGGTTGCATCCTTTCAACAAGGTGTTGGAAACATTCCTCAGAGACTTTCGTCCATATTGACATGATAGCATCACAAAGTTGCTGCAGATTTGTTGGCTACACAAATCTCCTGTTCCAGCACATCCCAAAGGTGCTCTATTGGGATTGAGATCTGGTGACTGTGGAGGCCATTGGAGTACAGTGAACTCATTGTCATGTTCAAGAAACCAGTTTGAGATGTTTGAGTTTTGTGACCTGGTGCATGATCGTGCTATAAGTAGCCATCAGAAGATGGGTACACTGTGGTCATAAAGGGATGGACATGGTCATCAATAATACTCAGGTAGGCTGTCCCATTTAAACAATAGTCAATCGGTAGTAAGGGGCCCAAAGTGTGCCAAAAAAATATCCCCCACACCATTACACCACCACCAGCAGCCTGAACCATTTATACAAGGCAGGATGGATCCATGCTTTCACATTGTTTATGCAAAACTCATCTGAATGTCACAGCTGAAATCAAAACTCATCAGACCAGGCGACGTTTTTCCAGTCTTCTGTTGTCCAATCTTGGTGAGCCTGTGCAAACTGTAGCCTCAGTTTCCTGTTCTTAGCTGAAAGGAGTGGCACCTGGTGTGGGCTTCTGCTGCTGCAGCCCATCTCCTTCAAGGTCGACATGTTGTGCGTTCAGAGATGGTATTCTGCATACCTTGGTTGTAACGAGTGGTTATTTGAGTTAGTGTTGTCTTTCTGTCATCTTGAACCAGTCTGCCTATTCTCCTCTGACCTCTGACATCAACAAGGCATTTTCATCCACACAACTGCCGCTCACTGGATATTTTCTCTTTCTCGGACCATTCTCTGTAAACCCTAGAGATGGTTGTGCGTGAAAATCCCAGTAGATCAGCAGTTTCTGAAATACTCAGACCAGCCCGTCTGGCACCAACAACCATGCCACATTCAAAGTCTCTTAAATCCCCTTTCTTCTCCATTTCTGATGCTCGGTTTGAACTTCAGCAAGTTGTCTTGACAATGTCAACATGCCTAAATGCATTGAGTTGATTTGATTAGCTTTTTGTGTAGACAAGCAATTGAACAGGTGTACCTAATAAAATGACCAGTGAGTGTAAAGTGATCTTCAACAATATGTAGACTGTAGAAAATTTTGGATGCAGTTATTGCCCTTGTTGATCTGTGTATGTCTTTTTCAAGAAATGTTTAATTTCCAATTAATCTGTCACTACCTGCTGACTGGGATTGCTTATCACACAGAGAGTCGCCTAAAATTGAGATTAATGTTATAAATGCATAGGATTTACTTCTGATGTATAACTCCATCCACTTCACCACTCTGTAATTTGAACTGTCTTTAAATGTCCATTCTCCCTCCCTTTCCCAAATTCTTCCCACATTTCTGAATGTGTAAGACTTGACATGGAAAGACAAACCACTGTCCAGAGGTCACTGTGTGTGTGTGTGTGTGTGTGTGTGTGTGTGTGTCAAAGGCATTGTGTGTCTGGTATCTGGTATAAGAGCAGCTGTAAGAGTCGGGGGGGCTAATCCCTCCCAGTTGGTCCCTAATCCGGTTCTAATCCCTTTAAAACTCTCTATCAGCCTCTCAGGACCTCAGCGGGGTTAAATCTTGTCAAATCTCACACACACACACACACAATGACCCTGCACTGTCAGTTAAGTGTTAACAAGTCACTGTCATCCCTTGTAAGTGAAATGAGCTTCTCTCCACTTCTTAAAGAAGATTATGTGAAGAAGATAACGTTTTCTCACAGCAGGTTGCAGGTGAATGAGCCTCTGCTTAATTTCCCCTTCTTTATTTCAGTTTACTGACCCACTCAAACTCCCTCTCAATCACTCAAGTCCCCTTTATTTTTCTTCTTGTAAATTTGCTGATTTTGTTAGACTTAAAAGTGAACAAGATGGTATTTAGTGTCATAGGACATTTTGAACGGACAGGACAGCTGCCTTATGATGTAAGTGTGCTAATTCCTTAGAATAACTGAATACAGGATTTGCAGTACAATTAAAGCCAATTACAATTATTTACAGAACAGATCAACTACTTTATCAATTGTGTTCACAGTGATTTGAATTAAACTGTCTTCTGTTTATTTTTGTGTGAATTCATATGATATATTCACCCTTATGTCAGCTCATACTTTGGTGGTTTTGCAGCATCCTGTTCTTATAACGTGCATCATCCAAGTAAAAGAACAAAACCCCTCTATTAGGTTAGCTTTAACCTAATTCAAGCTACTTTTGTAGATCTGAAGGAAAAAAATATTCTTAGAAAAGTTTGTAAATATTCAGTGTAAACAAGAATCTGGTGTGTGTGTGTATATATGTATATGTATATATGTGTGTGTGTGTGTGTGTGTTTTAAACAAAATAAAGGATGAGGTGGTGGTCAAGATGTTCAATCATCTTCTTACTGAAATTACTGAAATTCTCATCCATTTTTAAAAGTTGAAAGTCAGTTGAACTCATATTGTAGTTACATCAGTTTCACCAGTGATTTAATTGGTAACATAATGTAAAGCAATAATGTGTACTGTTTCTATTGTCGAACATAGTTTAAAAGACAATTATATTTATAGGCTGGCATGCTTTAATTTTCCATTACCATTTTACACACAAAAAGGTCTGTAAAATGCAAAAAAAAGTACCCACTTTCATTATACAAACATACACAGACACACACACTCCCTATAATCCTCCCCCTTGGCCCCCTCCTCCTCCCAAACAGACAAATGCATTACACAAATGAAAAACAAGTGAGAGGCTGGAGGAGAGGCAGGGAGAGGTAGAGAGGGAGGGAGTGAGATTTTATTTAAGTGTTCTTGTAAGCCATCTAAGATATTAATGTTGCAAAGCTGCTTATCAATATTTAAGAACATAAAAGGAGTGTGAGGGCGGAGGTGGAGTGTTGTGTGTAGGAAGGGCAAACCAGGAGGGACCTGCACTCTTGAGGTGTGTATGTTTGTGTGTTTGTGTATATTTGTGTGTTTGCCAGAGCCACAGAACAACAATGAGAGAGATGAGGTCTGTCTGACAGTTAGAGAAGAGGAATTGCTCGGTCTCTGTCCCACTAAAAGCTTTAACACACCCGCAAACATGTGCATACACACATCACACAGAAAGTGAACGCTGTTAAGTGATGGTCAGGATGGTAAATACAACTGCTAATGCCCCTTAACCACAACATCCTTATTTTATGTTGTGGTTAAAATGTACTGATTAATCTTTATGTTTATGCATGTATTATGCATTTATGTATGTACACATGTATGTGTACTGTATATGCACGTGTGTACATGTATAGTCTGTCTGCACTATTTGTATTCACATATGTCTTTGCCATATATCAGTTGTATGTACACAGGTATCAATTTAAATAAGTATTTAGTAATACATTTATCTGATGGTAAGAGCATGAACAATCTGAAGAACATCCTCTTTGAGGATCAGGAGAGACTTGTTTCACAAAAAGTTCCATCATTCAATTCAGTCAGCTTTATTTCAGGCTATGGATTTTATGTCAAAGACATGTATTGTTTTGCAGAGATATCTACTGAAGTTAGCATGCTAACCTGTTAGCCCCGGCCCGTCCTGTGTTGTAAAACCACTTGTACCTCAAGAGCCACATTCTTAACTTTCATAGTCTAATAATTATACAACTCACTAAATGTCTCCCTCTCGCTCCTCTCCTGTCCCCACCTTAATCCACCGTATCTTTGTCGACCACGGAGTCAGTCCTGTTCATAGCCGCTGTAAATCACCTATGTACTGAATTCCCTGTTGCTGTGTTCGAGGCTGTGTTTGGCTCACTGGGGGCGGCTGAGCCCGGCTCTATAACCAGCTCACCTGTCTCTGGTGCCCATTCCGGACATAGTCAGCAACCAGGACTGCTAAGTTAGCTGCACGGCTAACTGAGCTAACTAGCTAACTGCAGTTAGCAACGGTTATGACCTGATATGTTGCCACCTATTCTTTTAGAGTATGAATTTGACAGGTGTTGAGTAGTCTCAATTCTTATATACGTTGGAAAAAAAATCTTATTCCAAACTGTCAGACAGTATAATGTATATTTTGAATCACTCTTCACTAGTGAAGCTATATGATATTCACACTGAGTGAAATTTTAAACCTAACAACAACAACGTTTTTTATTTTATTTTAAACAGACATGGGAAATCAAGTAAAGAAATAATTGTTATTGTCAACATCTCTTTAAATAAAGACATCCTTCTACTCCCTCTTACCTCTCTGCTGCGTCCCCCTATTCCTGCCATCTCTCCATCCACCCAAACCTCCATCTTCTATGTGCTTCAGTCCCTCCCTAAACATTAGAAATCATCAGGGAGAATGATGAGAGGTCTGCTCGCAGGAAGAGACTAAAGTACTGCAACCTCTCTGGAGAGAGAGAGACACAGACAGAGAGAGAGAAAACACAACAGAAATCCTTTTCAGTTCTCCTCTCATCAAATGAAAAAATAAACCAACAAAAAGCTCCTTTGTCTAAAACATGAATCCCGCATTTAGTGTGTCAATGTGTATGTGTGTGTAGTACACAGGGGACAAAGACATTAAGGGGTGAGCAGCATGAGCAGAACTCTGCAGGTGTTTGCCACCTCTGTAGTTCGAATACATTAAAGCTACACACACACACACACACACACACACACACACACACACACACACAGTGACCTCTGGACAGTGTTCTGTCTTCCTATGTCTTCCAGTGTCATCCCTTGTGCTACACATCCAAAACACTTTCTGAACACAACCCACTAAATGATGGCTGCAGGGTGGAAGAGGTGTGTGTGTTTGAAAGGAAAAACGAGAAAGACATGAAACAAAAAAAGAAGGATAAAGATTTTGTGGACGTGTGAATGAGGGAAACCGTGTATGTGTGTGTGCGTGTGTGTGTATTATGACTCGAGGCAGGGCTAGATGGATGGGTGTTCTGACCTCCCTACGGGGGTACAGGCACGCTTATTTACACAAAGCACCCTTAGGTGTGTAGGAATGTGTGTGTGTGTATGTGTGTGTTTGTGTGCGATTCAAGCCTCCAAACTTAGTCTTACAGAGAGCAAAACCGATAAATACAAAAGTTTTGAAGATGTCTTTTTTTAATCACTTTACCACTCTCCCTCATTTAGGGTAAATGTACAAAACAAAAAGGTGGAAAATAACTCAAAACCTCCCAGAGGCTCACTGTCACATGGGATTCTATAACATTTTAGATAAAGATGAGAGCTCATTAATCTCAAATTATTGCTGGAGATAGGAATAATAATGGACCTCCATAGAGGTACACAGGCAATTTAATGGATAACTCACCGGGCGGTACATACATTATATGCCCAAAATATATGGTTTTCTGGTCAATTAATTCTACGGCACACAATAATATTTTTAGATGTTTGTGTGCTTCCAACTTGGTGTGACCCGTTTGTGGAAGACCCTCTCCCGTAAAAACATGCCAATACCCCTGTGCAAACTATAGAGATAGCAAATGGGAGTTACCTGCAGTCAGGTTCCAAAATCAGATGAGGAGCATTCCCAGGTGGAGGTAGATTAATGCCCATGGTTTTGGAATGAGATGTTCAACAATCACATATGGGTGCACTAGCGAAAAAGTATTTTGCTGTCCGCATTTGTTTATGTAGATACTGGATACACTTTAGCTACAACTAAAATGGACATCCAGGGTTACACCAGCAGGGTGTTTCCTGGCTCCGAATGGGCCTGTGATCGGTACACATTTCCGATAATACACCACTGTGGTTAAGGTTTGATTAGGGCTAATGTTAGTATATTCATTTTAATTTCAGATAATGGTATAGGCTACTATCTAGCTTAACACTATAATAATAATTCCAAATGGTCAAAACAGCTGTTTAATTTTTGCGGGTTGTTTTGATGGTGGTTAATCTCTGATTTGTTAATGCTAAAGTAGTAACTTGTCTATAGACGGGTTTCTTGTATACAAACACTACTGGATGCATCCGCAGCCGGGGGGCAAAAACGCTTTGGTAGCCGGTCAGAAGACTGTAGTTAACCACTGTAATCAACGTAGATTACACATTGTCTGTAAATTCTTGTTGACCTAATAATAAACTTCCATTTCAGTAGTTCATTTTCAGGAAATGTGAAACTTAGCCTGTAGAAAGAAACTCTGGCAGATAACGTTACTGCCAGTGAAGCATCCACTCGGCAGGACAGAGTGGCATTAATCAATTTGTGTTTTGTAAAAGCACTGAATACTTCTTTTATAAATGTGTGTGCAAAACAGTAACGTTAGTTCAGTAGTCGAGACGCTTGCTTGATTTTTTTATCTCAGACAGAGGCGTTAAAAAACGTTAAATGTTTCGTAAAAATCATACTGCTGCTGTTATGAATGCACAATCAGTTAAAATGGTGGGAGGGACCTGCTTTGTTTTTTATTCTTTTTAAAAAGCCTATATCCATAGCCTTCATGATTCAGCATCCTCTGGTCTGAGAGGCTGCAGTGTTTTCAGTTTAGCTGGTTGTTGACTCCTCAGCTTAATTATTGTTCCAGTAAAGTGGATTCATTTCTAAAATGCACTGCTGAACAGGTTTCCTGTCACTTTTAAGGATGGGGTGCGTTGGTTGAAAGTAATTATAACGTAACAAGTAACGTGACTATTTACTTTTAATACCCAGTAATAAGTAAAGTAATATTGTTACTTTTTAAATGAGTAATAAGTAAAAAGTTTGTGAGAGTCATCTCTCCCATCAGCGCTAACTATGCAGGAAAAACCCCACAGAGGTTCTAGGACCTGTAACGCCAGGAATCCACTGGCTCTGGCTACAGCACGTTGCGGCTGCGCCATGGTTTTGATGCGTCCATAGCCCGGCGTCAGAAGTCACTGGAAGTGTCTCAGAAGCATTTCAGCAGCGGAGCGTGCAGCCTGCCCCACGTTATTGACTTGTAATTTTTGTGCTTCTATTACATTCTTCACAGCTCTCTGTGGCCCAGGTTTGTTCCGTCAACTTCGGGTTGCACATCCCATAACGAGCATTTTGTGCTTCTACTATGATTAAGTAGGCTATGTAGTAAATTGGTTTCTTTTTGTGTCTGTTTTAACCGTGAATATTGTTGTTTTACGATCGGGAGTCTCCACAGGGTGTTTTATTTTGGAAATTGACCGGATTCTCTATGCCGTTCTGTGCTGCTTGCGTCAAAAATAGACCTCCTAATCACTCAAGCATTGAAGGGCATTTTTCCCCCTCTTATTGTTTTGTTTTAAGTTAAAAGGAGGGACATAACTGTCACAGTCTAATTTGAAAGATTAATAAAAAACTGTATTGACCTTTTGTGTTTATAATCATATTGAGTAATTAAATATATATGTGATGTGCATGTCCTGGATGAGTCTACAACACTGAATTTGGAAATGGTCCTTAGGGACTCCATCTGTGTCACTATAAGGCTAATGGCCAAAAGCTTCTTTGACATGTTTGTATTAGAACTTAAGGTGGGTGGGTGAAGGTTTTGTTGGAGTGGGTATCGATGAGGGGCCCAATTTGGAAAAGGTTGTCCCCCTGTCCACAATCCCTAACGGATGGCCTTACCACATCACACAGGTTTGTTTTTAGTAAATAATTTAAAAAACCTTATATTTACTCCAGTGAGCCTCAGACAGTGTGCACCTGTTTAGTTTTATTTATTTATTTATTTATTTTACATAATCAAGACTTACATTTATTTATGATGATCTCAAAATGCAGTCAATCAGCCGTTTTCAGCTATATAAAGCTAAATAAATCTGAATCCCTGACAATATCTTTCACAATTCAGCAGCAGTTTTTCTCCAGGTTTAATGTATGCTTGAATAACAACCCTGTCTGTTCTATACTCTATGTGAGAGAAATGCATTCTACATCCACAGAATCGCATTGATTTGCCTCTAAAAGGTGAATAAATTGTGTATGTATTTTATGGAAACAGAAAAATCTATGCCACTGTTTACAATGCTTGCTGCTTCTGTAAATCAGAAGGTGATCAATGTGCGTACTGACTCATCCATCGCCGGGGTATAAATATATATTTTGTGTATGTGTCCGTGTTGAAAGTGCATTTGCGGACATTGTAGTTTGCATGCTTACATTTTGTTTGTACAGTAACTTTTCTTGTTTTTGGCAAATTCTCAGTGTGTGTGTGTGTGTGACAACCTGCACATGTTTATGTTTCCATGTTATGTTAATGAATGCGTGCAAACAGGCTTCATGGTTGTGTGTTCCCGTGTATATTTGTGTGCATGTGTTTGTGTGTGTGTATGTCCTTTCAGCCCTCCAGCAGGGTCGTTTCTGTATTGACAACCTGCTTGTCCCTGTCATACAGAGAACATGAGTAGAAAGGCCATTCTCATTTAGCCTGATAAAGAGCCCGTAGCGTCGTAACGACCTCTAGCCATTTATAAATCATACTTTAACATGGGGGAGACGGACCTCTTACTGCTGACTGATTGCAGAATTGATCAAAATTACTCATTCATGAATCAGAATAGCATTTTTGCAGCGAGCTGAGCGCAATAGCAAAGCATTTTAAAAGGTGAGATGTTCTACTGGGAAATAACTCGGTGGTTATGGTACGATAAATATTGTAGTACTTATATTTGGCTGATCTTTTGCTTCATGTTGTTATGACTCTATTCCAGGGTTTAAGTCTGCAAATTATTATTTTAGTACATTTACTCAGTGAAGTTCTTTTCTTTACTTTCTTCCTTTGCTTCCCTCTTTCCTTTCTCCAATTCTGTCTCTCTCATTGTTTTTTCCCCAACCACCTGCCCCTTTATATTAATCTGCATAGGAACAATCAGCAGCTCATGTTTACTGATTCGCCCAATCAGGTATCAGTTCTCCCTGGAGGTTCAAGGTCCCCATTGACAACCCATTGAGTGAGTGCGCGTGTATGTGTGTGTGTTGTGGACAAAGGAGGAAAATCCCTGGGAGAGTCGAGCAGAGCGCGTTGATCGATCCTCTGCAATTACCAGCCAATCGAAATGTGATTTATTTCCCAAGGAATCATTTCAATATCAAGAGAGCCGGCGAGAGGATGGGAGCGAGTGTGTGTATGTGTATGTGTGTGTAGGGAGATCCTTGTCAATAAACTATCACTTACCCCTCTAGTCTAGTCTTCTTCCTCTATCTCTCTCTCAACCCATCCATCTCTACATTTTCTGCCTGCCCTTTCTTCCTCTGTCTACTTCTCTCTTCCTCTCATGCTCCGTTGCTACATCCTTCTTCTCCACCCCTATCTCCTCATCTGCATCCCCAACTTTGTCTGTCCATCCCTTTTTTCTTGTTTCTTCCCTTTCAATACTCCTCGTGTCCATCTTTACCTCTCTATTATCCATGTCTCCCCCCCAATCTTAGCTTTCTGT